CCGCCCGAGGCCCGCGCCCGGCCTCGCCCGCCGCCCGCTCGCTACGCCCCCCGCAGCCCCTCGCCTCGCGGCGGCAGATGTGCGTGGGGCCAGCCCACGGCGAGGACTATGGTGAAATTCCCGGCGCTCACGCACTACTGGCCCCTGATCCGGTTCCTGGTGCCCCTGGGCATCACCAACATAGCCATCGACTTCGGGGAGCAGGTAAGCCCTGGGCGCCCCCTGCCCGCTGGCACCCCAAGTCCTGCAGCCGGCGCCCCCACGCCCCGCCCCAGCCCTCAGCCCTCAGCCCTCAGCCGGGCGCCAGGGCATGGGCAGCGGGAAGTCACCTGCCACCACCCCCTCCCATCCTGGAGCCCGTGGTTGGGTTTGCAGCTTGTCAAGGGTGACTTTTCCAGCACTCGGTTTCTCCCAGTTATCCAGGAGACTTTTCCATCTCTCTGGAAAATGATGAAAGACTGGGTGGTGTGGAACTTCACCTACAGAAGGGTTGTAGTGCACGGGAGGCGGATTATGTAATTTGTGATTATGTAAATCTCAGGTCATAACTAACCTGTAGTTTTAGTAGCTTAGGTGCTGGGAGGTCTCGCTGCTGGGTGGAGATGGTGGGGGTCAGATTTGGTAGTAGAAGGTCTCCAAGCGGATGTCCCATGTCCTTCTGATTTTTAAATACTCGTTTTGCAGTTAAGGTCAGGATAGGGGTATCCCAAATGTGTTTTAGGACTTCTTTTTTTCTTTGCTTCCTTTTCCCTGCTGGGGATCACTAAAAGGGTGCACAGTTGGGCTTGGCATTTCTTTTTCATGTTTTCTCCCAGTGGCATCGTTGCAATTGTGGCGCTGCAGGCTGCCCTGCGGAGGGGCATTGGTACCCTGCCCTGTGCCTCCTGGGCCGTGGATTTGAAGGACCTGCAGCGGGATGCGACCTTGCTTGGGGTTGAGGATGGGATGGGGACCCAGGACAGGGTGTGCGGATGGGCACTGCGTATTTCCTGAAGTTTAACCTAGGCCTGCTTTTGCAAATTGAATCACTCCTTTGTGCTTCAGAGCAGTTGGAGTAGAATGCTTTTATTTCAAGTTTCTTTGGGGGGAGGGAGGAAGGAGGGGAGGGAGGGATAGAAACGGGAGGTCCAGAGGGCAGGTGTATTGGAGTCTCCACAGTCAATGATGATTCATATGTCAGGATTTACAAATACTGGGGTGCTGGGGTGACCATGGGGCAGTGCTAAGGTGAATTCAGGTCTGGCTCACGTGCGTTGGAGGTGGTGAAGAAGTGCAAAATCAAAAATAAAAACCTCATTCACTTTCAAGTCTCTGGCTTGTCAAACACAAAAGGAAAGCAAAATCCTTTTAGATGTCTTTCAGATGACTTCCTGTGACTGTAAACACCAGGGTATGGATTTCTTCACAAACGTGGAGAGAACTTTTAGAATGGGCATCCTGCTATGTGCAGGATTGTGCTCAAAGTTGAGCCGCATGTATGTGGCTGCACGTCCCCAGGCTCCCCGCCTGGTGCGCAGCCGGCCAGAGACTTTCTCCCTACGTGCAGAGGCGCCTGCTGTTCTCTGCCAGCACTGTCTATTGTGTCTAGATCTCTCCATCATTTTATTGACCAATGAAGGAAGAAAACCAAGTATTATTGAGTACTTCTTCTAACAGAAGCAGCAAAACCTGTTATTACTTCTTATGTGTGATTGTGACGGTAATTTCAGAAGTTGGGGGTAGGGTTGAGTTCTACATTGAAAAAAAGTTATATGGATTAGACTGATTTCTCTTGAATGATTAAGCATAACCACCATGGCAAAAAAAAAAAAAAAAATGAGAATATATTTGTTTTTGAAGAAAGTGAAATAATGTTTGTAGGAGCCCATAGATACAAAAATGCTCTGTGATAACATACCTACAGTTGCCCTGTCCATTTTTAAAGATCGAGGAATGAAAGTATGAATGGCTTCCTTTCCCTGATTGAGCTCGTAATGTGTGCTCACAATATAACTTAGAACGAGTTTTATGTGAGGAAGGAGCGAGAGGCCTGGGCACGGCGGTGCTTGGCCCGCAGCCGCCCCAGCAGGGCTGGCAGCGCAGCAGCTCGGGCTCCCACCCACCGCGGCCCCTCTGCCTCCTTGCTGCACTCAAGTGTGTGCATTAACTTTCGCCCAGGAGTCCTGGAGCCTTAGGAACATGTTTTCACTTTTGTGATTCTCAGTTTAGGTCGCAATTCAATCTTTTTTGTCATATCTTGAACTTTGTTTTAATTTTCCTTTTTTTTGAGATAGGGTGTGGCTTTATAGTCCAAGTGCCCTGGAACTCACCATTTAGCCCAGCCTGGCCTTGAACCTGTGTTGACCCTCCTGTCTCAGCCTCCCAAATGTTGGGATTCCAGGTGTGTGCCGCCACACCCATTTCATATCTTCAACACGTTCACAACAGAGCATGTCTTGCTGCCGGGTGGCACTGAACCACTGCTGGTAATGCTGATTGTCCCATCAGGTGGTATGGGACAGTCCCATCGGGTGCTGCAAGCTGACCAGCGGAAGTCATGCATGTGCCACCAGTGGTTCAAGCCGGCAGGAGTGTGTTGGAGACTTAACAGATACAGGGCCGTGGTGAAAAGGGCTCCCAGGAAAGGGGCTTTGCAGCCCGGAAGCTCGTGTCAGAACACCTGAATCGCTCAGATAATTACATGAAAATGGTGCCGGTTTTTCAATAAGGTCGGCATAGCCCTTGATCAAGGGAAGAGAATATATGACAACTGATAGCTCACAATCAGACTACTCAGAAGCCAGTGTTTATCATTACAGCAGTACAGATTGCTAAGCAGTGAGTAATGCGGAGGTGTGTTTTAAACTGCACGTCTTTTAAAGTATCTGGCAATGTCTGATCCCTTCATGTTCAAAGGACTGTTACCTCTGTTAAAAACTAAATTTGGTACAAAGTCCCTGAGTTCCTGAAAAGCCATGTTTAACAAATTATTTAGAAAAAATTAGAGAACTTTTTTGAACGCTATGTTAATTAACACTTAAAATGTTGAGGAGATCCTTACTGTGAAGGCTTTGAAAGACCAAAGACAGACACCATTGTCCTCACTTGACCAAAAAATGTGCACTGTGGAATGCCAGGTAATCCGCTTTTCTGGCTTCATGGGAGAGCTCTAGCTATTTCAGATAGCTCTGAATGAGCCGGGGAGTTTGGCAGTGTCCAGCGTGAGCAAAGCCAAGCTGAGGTACACGACCTGTGCTTGAGGAGTTTTGCGTGTGTCTTGTTAGAGTTGCTGAAGTTAGGTGCATGGCGGGAACGAGTGTGCTCAGTCTGCCGTTTCCTAGCTTGGGAAAGACCCTGTCTCACTGAGGAAACCTAGAATTCGGCTTTCAGATAAAGGATGATCTCGTACTAGATGACACTGTGAAGAAGAGAGAGCGGCCAGGAAAATGAGGTTGATGAACGTTCTTCCTGTCTCCAGGGAAGCGCAGCCTCTGTCCTCCAAGAGGCAACAAATAGAAGTTTTCATCAGAGCAGGATGTCTAGCAATAAAAAGTGGCTAGTGCAGCACATGGCGCTGGCCCCTTCGCGGAAGGGAGCCCGCCCGTTCAGGGGACATCCCCACACAGAGCTGGTGCTGAGTTAGCTAAGTGTCTGTGTATGGCCCGCTTTCCAAAGTTCTTAAAGACAGAATTTAAATCCCCACCTAAATAGCTTCACTCTGTTTTATATCAGTTAACTTAACGAAGTAAATTTCAAAGTAAATATTTTTTCTAATCATAAAGGTGATATGTGCTAATTGTTTTAAATACAAAAAAAAAAAAAAAAAAAAAAAAAAAAACACCCAAAACGGAGGTGGGAAGTACCTAGAATTCTACTCTGGTATAGAGGACTCCTTTAACAATTTGGGCATCTCCTGCTCGCTTATATTTTAATGGCTGAGGAAGTGTTTGTGTGCCCCTCTGTGTATGTAATGTGAGTGGGGGTGTGGGGTGGGGTGTGATGTTCTGCAGAACACAGAAGCATTCTCCCCAGATCATTTAAAAGTATTTGAGTGTGAGTCTGGGCTCAGCCCCCTCCCCCAACACGCAGGCAAAAAGTATTTGAGTATCATTTTGTAGGGCAGCTTACTGTTTGATGACCCGAGCATGTTGTTTGAACACAGAACTCTCATCTGCTTCTTTGCAATATGAAGTTTCAGTGGGCAACTCTGAAATAAGTGAAGGGTGTGCCTCCTCCAACTGCTTTGGTTTTTATGCCTGGCAAACTTTGGCGCCTGTTTCAGGTTCTCATTTATACGTAGAAAATGAGGGCACACCGTTCCTGCAGTCCCTATTTAGTCAAGGACACTGTGACCTTGCCGGTCTCATTGATCTTCACTTGCCTGCCATGTTTCCCAGTTCTCTTCAAGCACACACCTACATGTAAAGCCCTTCTCGGGATCATTTAGGTGACCACATTGTTTTGAGAGCCACAAAGGCACATTCCTGTGGCTGGCTGGTTTACTCATTCATTCATTTATTGGTGGTTTCGTGATCAGCCTAAACACTACTCTGTTAGACTCCTTCTTTCCAAGCATGTCCTTTGTACATCAGAACAGTGACTACAGCTCTTTCTAGTAATGTGCTGAATTCTGCAAAAGCCGCTTTGAAGTATGTGGTGTAATATCGTCTATGTCACTGTACCATTTGTGAGAAGTGACAGTCACACAGCTTTCCATTAGAGGTGAGTGATTTGGTAGCCATGTCTTTTCAGTCTTCCTTGTTTAATTTGGAATAATGGGCAGGTTGTATTGGGAGGAACAAGAGGACAGCCTTGGGTCGGGCAGTCATTCCTTCAGGGGCCTGCGAGCTGGAATCAATAAAAAATGTTAAACTTAGGGCCGGGGAGCTGGCTCAGTGGAATAAGCGCTTCCCTGGCAAGCGCAAGGGCCTGAGTTCAATCCCCAGTTCCGCCAAAAAAAAAAAAAAAAAGTTAAATTTCTGGTGTAGTAAACTAGAGTAACTTGAGCATGTCTAATAAACTGAGTATTTTTGAGCGCATATGACTTATTATTTGCTGTGCAGCTGAAATAAAGGGAACCTATGTGTGCAGCCTTACGTGGATATAAACGAAGCACGTGACTTCTCTTCAGAACTGAAGCTTTTTCTGTTAAGCTTGTCGTTGGATTTTCTTTGTTTTCCTATGAGAACCAGTGCTGAGCATCTGACCTGTGTTGTATAGTTCTC